TTCGCAGCTGGCACATTATAAGTGTACATTATGTATTCGTGTCTAAGAGTAACCGTTCAAAAGTAAACAGTGGAATGGCTTTGAATATTGTAAAACGCGTAATAAGTTTTCTATAAATGATAATTGTTTGGTCCCTATCTGTGACGTTAAAAATGACAGCGTTCTTGTGTTGACAATCGTCGAGTTCGTTGACAATTCGATGAACTCTTGTTTCAAAGGGCTTAAGGGTCGTTCCATACAAGCCAATCCGTATCAGACGCAAGCTAATGGTTTCGAACAAACGTGCGTGGGCGACAAATCCACGAAGTTGGTGCAGCACTTTGACCGGTTTTCGACAGCCCTGCAGAGAGCCAACCAGGATGCCATGTGGTTGTCGACCGCGATTAACGTCAAGTACATAGAGTCCGAGGTGGGTCCGCTAAGCCGGCACTTCGGGCAGAACCTCGTGGTGCAAATGATGTCCACAAAAGACAACATGTCAACAGAAAAAGTGTTTGTGGTGACTACCGCGGAGGCCAGCGTACAGGTCGACGAAACCAAGTTTGCCCAGGTAACGCCGAACGATAGCAAAGGAAGTCACGGATCACTGAAATCTGGAAACCACAGTCGAGAGCCTTCCCACACTCGTGACAGCAGGCGATTGACGTTAACCGACAGCAAAAGAGGTTCGAAAGTCGAGACCAAACAAAAAAAGTCGGACAAAGACAAAAGTGGTTCAAAAGCAGAGACCAAAAAGTCTGAATCAAAGCGAAAAAGAAGTTCGTTTTTCGGATCCAAAAATTTAGATTCAAAGCGAAAAAATGATTCCATGTTAGAGTCCAAGAAGAAAACAAATTCAACGAAAGAGTCCGAGGGTAACGGGTCGGATGACCATAAGTCGAAAATATCCACCGATCGGGCGGTCTATCTCAATAACGATCCCGCAGATAAAAAAAGCGTTCAAGTGGACATTTCGAACGACAAAGAGTCGAAAGGTCATAAAAGCACTCCGGTAGATTCGTCCGGCAACGAGCATTCCGACACAAGATGGCACGGCACGGACTCCAGTGCGACAGACCTGAAGGGTTTGGCCAAGTTGAGAAAACTGTGTTGTTTGCTGCGAACAAACGTGATGGAGCTGAAAGCGTTGTACGAGAAAAGGCGGCAGATCGGATACGTGTACACGGACAACGAAAATGCCTTGATGAGTCTCAGCCTGCGGTCGCTGGACTCTGACGTCATGCAGCTGTTGAAGACAATCGACAACTCGGACGGGCACCGAAGTCAGTTGAAATACATTGTTGATACGTACAAAAAATACGAATCCGAGTACAGAGCAATGAGAACATTGAACAAGGAAGCCAAAATTCGGAACGAACAATGTGAGGCCAGGTGTAAATCGACCAACAGCGAACAAAATGAACGTGGCATGTATCGTAACAGCCTAACAGAGGTCAGGTCGGTCCTGCAAAAATACATATGCCGCCCTTGCTACAAAATGTATAAATTTAAAAATAATGATATTTTTAATTATACAAAAATTTAATTGAAATGTATTTTGTGTACATAAAAAAACGTTTAATACAAAATTATTTTGATTAAATAACAATTTATATTTTAATAATATAAAACACGAGCACAAGTTATATAAATTATAAATTATTTTATTAATAATTTATAATTAATTTAATTTTAATTTTTATAATTTTTAGTTTATAATTAATTGTTTACCTGGTACAAGTCGAGATTCATTACCAACAACTAGTCAACCACGAACAACTCACGTTGAAAGTGACACAAGTGGCGAATCATTTGAGGTAAATTCTAGTGATGACGGAAATATTACAGATATAAATACTAATGACGATCAATGGTATGAAAATTGGGATGATATACCGGATTTCCAATTTGACAGTAGTATGTCAGGAGTACAACTTATCATTCCCGATTCTGCAAAAGACAATCCTATACAAATATTTGATATGTTATAGACACGTGATATAACGGATAAGTTGGTTTCATCTACAAATAATTATGGTATAAAAATGAATTCTCAAGTTCGCCCTCATAAAAACATTGTCGTATAGCAGAGTTCAATAAAATGGATTCAGAAGAACTTTATACATTTTTGGCAATTTGTTTGCTTTCTGGATCTGTACAATTTTCTGTAATTAGAGCCATGTTTTCCTACAACCCATTGTGCTATCACCCCATTATACTAAGAACAATGTCTGGCAGGCGTTTTGAACACATTTTAAGATGTTTTAGCATTGAATACTTTAATCAAGAACACGAAAACATGCCAAGTGGGCCTTTAAAAAAAATTGAACCAATTTTTAAAATTCTAATGAAAAATTTTAAATCGGCATATGTACCTTACGAATCGCTTTTACTTTACAGTGACCGCCTCTTGTTTAGACAGTATATGAGATTAAAAAAAGCACGATATGGTATAAACTTTTTCGAACTTTGTACACCTGATGGGTTTGTTTTAAATATGGAAATGTACAAGGGAAGAAGTTGGTTCAAGTTGGTGGCTACATCAAAAATCAATAGTTTAGTTTTTCGACAAATGGATTCTTTCCTTGACAAAGGTCATACAATTTTTATGGACAACTATTACTTACAATAGTATCGATGTATCAAACGCACTTCTGTTTAGAAAAACACACACCACGGGAACTTTACGTAATAACCGTAAAGGCAACCCTAAATGTGTTGTCACCAAAAAATTTAAACCGGGAGAATACATATGGCGTCGCAAAAATAATGTTTATGTATCCGAATGGAAGGATAAAAGGGATGTTCTCGTTATAACCACAAAATATCAACCACAGCTTGCTTTATCGAAAAATAGATTTGGCAAAGAAAAAAATAAACCTATTGAAGTCATTAATTACAACAACAATATGAGTGGTATTGATAGATCCGACCAAATGGTAAAATATTACAGTAGCCCAAGAAAACAATCAAGGTGGTACAAAAAATTATTATTCCAACTTTTAGATATTGCAGTTTGTAATAGTTTTTTTTTATACAAAAAAAATTTGGTTGCACGACTTTAACTTTCAAAGATTTTCGTGATACTCTTATAAAAAATATGATAAAACTTCCAGTAGATACAAAAGCTAGTCAACTATTTAATTCTCCAAAGTATCCAAAAAAAAAACGTCCAATACCAGTAAAAGAGCAGTACTTTCAAGAAAAAATTCCTCCACCACCTCAGTACAAAAGAAAAGAATATTATAAGAACTGTAAAATCTGTACAAAAAAAAAATTAGAAAACAAACTCAGTACCAGTGTAGAGAATGCGTTGTTCCACATTGTCCAGGACCATGTTTTGAAGAGTTTCATACAAACAATTAGTTATAATTTATAATAACATTCTTAAAATTTAAAGGATTATGTACTTAATTTAAGTAAGAATAAATAAGTTCAATTTTTTTTTTATAGAAATAAACCAAGTAAAGTTTGTTGAAAGTATTTTCTTTTTATTTCGTAAAAATACTAACATTTTTTAACTTACCACCATGTACTGTTATAGCAATATAGTGATATATGTACATGCAAATAATGATATGGCAGTACTGTAATGTCTACTGCTATAGCAGGACCTAGTATGTAAGTGTTTCTAAAGGTATATTATATATTTTCCGGACTATCTAACTGTCCACGAATGTTAAATTTTTTTTTTATTCCATGGTTAATGTAAACTTTTAGGGTTATTTTGTAATTTGTTTTGAATAATCCTTTTTTTTCTTCAAAATACACAAATATTATTAAATATTTAACCATTGAACATTAAAATATTTAGTTCAATGGTAAAAAATATCTCACAAGGGCTATAAGAAACTTTTTTTTACAAATTTGATTAAACTGTACATATAAATACTTTTTTTTGTAAATTAAATTTCATTAAAATCAATTTGAAACATACCCCAAAAAACTATTGCTTAAAAAAGATTTTTTTTAAAAAGCAATTATTACAAAGAATATATTAATACTTATATTCCATGGTTAATAGTGAACTTTTAGGGTTATTTTGTAATATTTTTTTAATTATCTTTTTTTTTCTTGATATATAAATATTATTTATTGTTTAACCATATAATATAAATTCGTTGCGTCAGATTAGTTTGATAACTGATGAAAATCATCGTACAAGGACTGTTTAAAAATAAGTGTTTTTTTTTTTTTTGGAGATTTGACTAAACTGTACATATTAATATTTTTTGTATATAAATTAAATTTCATTAAAAACAATTAGAAGAACTAAAAAAAACGACTGTTTTAAGCAGTTTAAAACGATTAAATCAAACATACTATTTACAATCTATACTACGAGTAAAACAAGTAAATTGAAGAAAAGATTAACGTTGACAGGGAATTGAGGGGAAGCCTCGCAGTTGAGCAACTGTAGTATAAGCATTTAAGTAAAGTGCAAACGAGTAGATTTCTAGATCAATTGCGGTTAAGGCACCTGTTTGAATTGCCCGAAAGTATTTTTGAGTAAACGTAGGGTTTAAAACAAGTTGATTTTTTTGACATATCTTACCCAAAAGAGCGGGATTATTTGTAAATCATTATTATTGAAATTTATGAACTCGTAGGCCAGCACGGAAACACGGTTCGGCAGGGTCTATTATATTGTTCTATTATACCTATTGGTGAGTACTGTACCATGTCGGAAAGTTTCACAATAAAGTATAAAGGTGTCTGAGTGATGATTGACAGCGTTCATACGCAAGCTGTGTTTTTAATGGACTGTTGACACGGCACTATTGATTTCGTATACCGCGGACGCGATACCTAATTAATAACCGAATTCACGCGTTCCCTTCAATACAACACCGATACCCGTCACTAGGGTAACTCGTGCCGTGTTTATTATTTCGTATGGTAAAATATCTCGCGGATAGTTTTATAAAATTTTGTATTTTTTCTTTTCAAACTCTCTTTGGTAGCCTGCGGTTATTGTTAGAGAGTGGTTTTTGTGTGCGTTTTGTTAAGGATCGGCCGGCATGGCCGACGGTGGCGGCGATGACGGGGAGATCAGCGACAGGCGCTTGGCGTTCGTGTACAGGTACTTGGTGAAAAGCTGGAAATTCAAAATGGACAAATGGGATAACATGATGAAAGTGCCGGAAAACTACGTACGTCCGATTTGCTTGTACCTATTTTAATAAACAGCGTTATCATCAATTCAACGCAAAACACTGAATTTCTCAGATAAAACTAATTACATTTTAATTGATGTTGTTTTATATCATTATAAAATAACTAAAGTTTTTATAATTTTTTTGTAAAAAAAAGGCGTCCATAGGAACTCAAATGATATATTATGTATACAATAACCGAAGAATCGACGAACAATTTATTCCAAGTGCTTTCTGCCATCTAAAAATTTTGTTAAACGAGGTGGTTTTTAGTAAAACTAATTTCCTAAAGTATTTAAAATTAGGACGTGAATATTTTTGTTCTAAAAACAACCGAAATACGTTCTCATTTATGCGTTGAAAATTACCTAAAATGTACGCTAAAAAGGTCCATTAAATTATTGTCTATAAGTGTTCGAAAAGAAATATTTAATTACTTGGATTTTAATTATTTTATTGAACACTTTTGTATAATGCATTTACAATGAATTATTAAAAAGGTATCTACTTAAAAACATAACTATAAACTCAATGAAATTTTAAAAATACAGGGTGTCCCACAAAGATCTGACAAATAAAATAACTTTTGTTATAGTGGATATTTTTAAGATTTGTAATAAACACCACGGTTTGTGTTACTGTTAACTGTTTTACATTTTTTTTGTTACATTAATTTTATTAAATTGAAGATAGCTATTTTATTGAGAATAATTTGTTGAGCATTTTGACTGGTCGAAAACCAGTTTTGACATTCTTTAAGTTTTAAACGACCATTTTAAATTAAAGTAATCAATAACATAAAAAAATAATTAAAAAAGGAAGAAAGTTAAGAATAACTGTGCTTTTTTAAGCCCAAACGAGAATAAATAAATTTAAAAAACAAATCTTAAAAATGTTCACTAGAATAAAATATAAATTATTGCATTTGTCAGGTCTCTGTGGGACACTCTGTGTAAATAAATACTCAACATGTTTATACTAATAATTGAAGTGTTATTATTTTTGAACCAGTTATGTACTTGTTAATATAAATATAACAATTTCATATTGTAATCAGTTGAATTTTAACCGCTAAATTAAAATTAACTATTCCACATGTTCAAAACATTAGCAAAGGAATAGAAAAATAAAACCACAAATTTTGTTTTACTAACAAAAAAAACTATAGAATCTTAATTTTAAAAATTATTTTTATTTACCTAATTTTAGAACATGATAATGGACTTCTTCACCGTGCCGGAACGTGTGAAACTGTTGTTCACTTTGACTCCTTCGGGAGTATTAATGCCATTGACCGATTTCCCTGACGGTTACAAAACAAGAATGACGTATTTGTTAAAAATGGAAAGGGTAGAAGTGACTGAAAGCAACTATCAATCAATATTAGAATTTGGAGAAGTGTCTTCTAATCCTATCGACGATTTGAAACAAATCACTGAAAACGTAAGGAAAATTAAAAAGCTTTTAATAAAAAAAACAAATCACAGCATAGGTATCGTTTAAATTTTACGTTTCTGAAATAATCCAAGTATCGCATTTGATTGGACAGGTGTTGACTAGTGTTTTATCAAATAAAGATAATTTCGAAAATTGTGCCGAAGAGATACTTGTGGACGTTCAAGATAACCTAAATGACTTGTTGAGCGAAATTAACAATGTAACCGGATTGGTAAAAAACCGTCAAACACTCACGCTACCTTTTGGCTACGACAAAATTGATAAAGCAATAGAAATGTTTGAAACTAGGTATGTTTTTTTTTACTAGTCAAGGCGGTAAGTGCAATGCATAGTGTGTACTAGAGAGTGGACGAAAACAAAATTGTTTTTTGTTTTTTTGTTCTTCTTTTGACTAGTATGCTGTATGTTTTATTAAATCCACCCTAGCCACCACTGACAACATTGGCCTGTATCTCTGTCAATAGTAATTTTTTTCAAATCAACCTTTGGGTAAAAATATTTTGTTTTTATGCTGAAAATGTCTATGGAAATTACTTTTTTCTAGGGTATTTTGTCCTGAAAATATGTATAAATTTGAAAGAATTACAATTTTCCATATAATTTGAAAAATTAGGAATATTTTTTTTTTGACATTCTGTCAAAAGAAGAACAAATGAAAAACAAATTTTTTTGTTAATTTTTCTCTTAATCGTATTTTTTTCAAAAAATCACGGCATTCAGTTCATTGTATGACTATAGTTAAGAGGACTGCAGACCACTTATTTATTAAGGATTAAAGTCTAGGCAATCGTTTAGTGAAATAAGATATTAAGTTTAAGTTTTCGAGGTTATTTATTAACTATTTTATTTAAAAAAAAAAAAAAAAAAATGTGTTAGCATAGTTTAAGTAAATAAGTTGTTGTTAATTGTATAATTACAATTGACAGATTTTGACTTGTTTTTACATTTACTATCTTTATATTTTATTGGAATCTATTTAGCAAAGGTAAAGACATAGATGAAGTGTTGAAACACCGGATAGAACATAAGATATTGACATGGTTTAAAGACCTAAATATTTTGATGGGATATAAACCACAAGTGATCCTTGACAAAGACCCTGCAGCGCTTCCGTCTGATTGTAATTATTTTTTCAAATCATAGTAGTTACAAAATATATATTTTAATTACTGAAATAAAGACCGTTCATATTTTTACAGTTATTCTTTATTGGAAAAATCGAGAAACAAATTTCTCAAATTTGTACGAGCAAATCGACAAAAAAATTGGACATTTTTTGACCATAACCAACAGTCCGTATATGACAATTTATCAGCAAATTATTGAAACTATAGTGTCGGGTAAGTTGCTTATTTTATTCCACGTTTCAAAAAATATACATTTCTATTTGTTTTGTTATAGCTTCCAGTGAAGCGAACACCATTAACAAATACTTGAACACAATAAACAAACAGCTGTCTTACATCGAGGTTGTCGGATTGATCGAAGCAAAAAACGATTTGTACATGATGATGAGAAAACTCTGTTTGATCTGGGTGAATTGTCCGAAATTTCAGAACTACGAATACATTGTTGTTCTTTTAAGTCTTATATGCAATTTAATTATGTTAGAGGTTGGTGACGGTTTTTTTTTATTTTCAGAATAATTTTAACTAATTGAATAAGTACGTATTAATTAATTTGGTTTTAGTCTTCTAAATTTTTGGAGCCAACCGCTCTGTTTCAAGGTGAACTTATTGAAAATTTACCGAGAATAGATGAAATTATAGCAATATTACTGAATTTCAAGTTTGAGTCGACTTCAACTAATAAAATATAAAGAAAGTGATGCGAAATATTTTTTTAGGAATCACTTCGAGTTGATCAGAACTGAATATCTACCAGAACAGTTTACGATACTAGCGAATAAAAATAAAGATATGAAGGTTAAACCTAGGTATTGGAATTTCCATAAAAACGACGTATTCGATAAGCTTAACACATATGAAAAACGTCTCGCTGATATTAAAGTAAGTAGTTTTTACTAGCGTTGTAATGAACGCTATGTATTTGTACTGTCTATATATTCTAAGCAAACTACAAGAGAAATTTTAATTTAAAAATATTATTCCTAACGGGCTGAATCTTAAATACATTAAAAAGTATTAATTCAAAATAAAATACAAAATGGACTACAAAAAAGTGTCTATGGGATTAGAATAGGCAATGCATTGCATCCGATACAATGGATGGTTATTGCTATAGATAGTACGGTGATTTAATGATAATGATTTAACATTTATAATACTTATTTACACTTCAAAGGATATCATCGTCACTCTTTTGGACTATCAAAAATTAGAAAAAGTAGAAGTGGGCGGTCTCATTGGTCGTTGGTACTCCAGTAAAATCGAAGAAATGTTTCTTCGTTTTTCAAAATTTTTGGAAAAACTTGGTACCATTTCATACGACCCATTAGATATGTTTAGCGAGGCAAACAACGAAGCTTTCGAGGAAGACTATAATATTTATTTAGAAATGTCGGACGATTTCGACAAGCGAATCACGACCATCAGCAAGGCTTGTTTTGAATACTCGGATGATCTTATGTCACTTCACAAGGTATATTATTATTTTGTTTTCTTATTATTAGCTTTGAAGGCTAAATTTAAGGGCCATCACTCATCACTCTATATCAAGAAAAGGGAGGTTTCGCCCTTGAAAATTCAAAAACTGCATTTTTCCTATAAAATGTTCTGTTTTAGTTCATTATGGTGTTCGGTGCGGCTCTATTAGAAAGACCAATCGTTAAAAGCATCGTGACAGTTTATTATCAAAAAGTTTTGGAATTATTAGACCGAGAGTTAGCTGAAGAAAAGGTATGTCAACTGTAGTTGAAAAATCCATTTTTTTTAATCCGTGATTTTTGTAGAGAATTTTTGACCGTCAAACTGGTATCGTAAAAAATATTAATGAAGCTACAGACTATCCAGAACTGTCGTGCTGGCCCGTAGAAACGGATGTAAATTATCCACCGCTTGTGAGAACGGTTATGTGGGGCAATTCTTTAAAAAATCGTCTCGTTGAAGATTTAAAAGCTATTGAATCGTTAGAGTTACCGTGAGTAAATTTCGAATTTATGTAATCTATAGTTTTTTGGGCTGATGTACCTACCAATTTACTGATTTGATTTGTTTTTTTTGTTCACTGACATTATCCACAGAATTATGAAAACCCAAAATGGAGTCACAATTATGTCTAAAGTTAACGAAATTTCCGGCATGACTGAAACTTATTTATGGTCTCTGTTCGATAAATGGAAAAGCGATACTCCTCCAATGATTAGGGAGAAAATAGTTTATCCTCTTTTTATTGTAAACGAAGACAAAACAATTGGTTTAAACTTTGCTAAAGAAGTAATTTATTAAAATAAAAATAATAAAAGATTGTTTTTTTTTTAATTCAATATTTTTATCTAGCTTGATGCCGCCATTAAAGAAACCCGTTATTTACTTCTCGGTATTTATTATTATAAAGATCCCGCGTTAAAAATCACAATAGAAGATTTACCAGAGGACGCATTGGAGTTGTATAAACGCGAAAAAGGGTTAATTGATTATAAAAGGGATATTAATGAAATCGTTTTATGGTTAGTGTAATAATTAAAACAATAGAGAGTTTGCCAAATAACATTTAATTTTAGGTACAACACATTAAGAACGAAGACTCATATAACGGAATACCAATTAATACAGGAAGAAATTGAAAGAATCGATTTCCTCATAGAAAACGCACAAAGAAATGTTACTTGGTCGTCAGAAGGTAAACGATGGGATAATTAATTTTAAATAAAACTAATAAGCTCTTATACGGTTTTATAATATTTTTAAGAACATTTTTTAAATATTTTAATAGAATTGATTCATGTCGAAGAAGAAATCGTCGAGGAGGAAGGAATGGAGGAAGAAACTACTGTTCTTACTGTTATCCAACACACTATTGCTAATATTCATAAGCTAACTAAAAATCTTTACGATCGAGTAATGCAAATACAAACCAACTACGCTGAAATCGTAGCTTTAAGCAATCAATGGAAATCTTTGCCATTATACGTGCGCGATAAAAATACAATGCTAATCGAATTCGAAAAACGTCTAGTCGATATTAAAAATGTACGATATAATGAAGTGGAAGAAGCTAGTAAACGAATACAACAGTTGCTTAAGGAGGACCTATTGTTATTTCATAACGTTCCTTTGGTGGATCCGAGTTTAATGAACATGAGAGGATTCGAAGAAGAGGGCGAGGAAGATGAAAATGTTATACTCGCAGATCAAGTAGCTGTCGATGATATGGATGACGTTGATCAACTTGAAGAAGAGGGAGATGCATTAGCGTCTATTTTAGAAGAAGGTCAGGAAATGGAAGAAGAAGGTCTTGAAGAAGAAGGATTTGAACAAGAAGAAATGCAAGAAGAAGAAAACATTCAGTCGTTGATAAATCTAAACGATTTAGGCCTTAACGAAGAACAAGAAACAGAATTCAATGAAGGAGAAGAAATGGAAGAAGAATATATTCCTGAGAGTTGGATTGATTTGCAAATAAGAATACTTTTGTCGGATGAAAACATAAAACGGAACTGGGAAGAGTATAAAAAATACGTCGATGAAGCTGTACTTGATGGAATACGAAATTCAGCCGTTTGCAGGTAACGTATATAACACACAACCAATAGGAATGGTGCAAAAAATAATCGCGTAAAACAAGTTTTCAATTGAAATTCGTTCACATATATTATATTGAATTATGTTACATGTGTAACATAGCCTGATGACTATGATCTAGTTTGATTTTATAACCTAATACTCTAATATAATATGTTATACGATTCTACTGAATTACTAAAATTATACTGTGTATTTCAGTCTCTCTTATATCGACACAGAAATGAATACATTAAGAGAAGCGTGTGCGATGTTCGTAGTTTTATATGTCCTTCAAAAGAGTGGTTCAACGTTTATGCCTAGTTTAGAAATTAGTGACGACGATCTTCACTTTCTCGCATTAATGAATGGACTAATTGACGATATCGTAGAATTAGGGTCTCATATGGAAAGGGTAGCAGACGACAATACACCATATAATGTGAGCAATCTCGCTTACTACACAATTTGATTTATTGTTTTTGTTCTGTACTTTCATTATTACTACTATTAACAACTAATTTTAATTATTTGTATTATGTAGGTCGAAATAAAAAATTTCGAAACTGTGGAAAACTTGACGAGGTCTATCGTGGAAAGAGTAAAAAATACTACTAAAAAAGTATGTAAAAAATGTTTTACTTTTATTTTTCCAGTCTACACCACGTTATGATATCATGCACACGTGCAATGTACTCATTGCTTTGTTACAATTAAACATTGTAACTGTATTTCTAGGCACTCGAATATGTAACGCAATATCAAGAATTCTCACCTCTATGGTCAATAGATCAGCAGTCGGCGTTAAATTTGTTTATAACCTACGGCAGGGATCTCACTCACGACGAACTAGAAATGATAGACGAGGTTGACGCTGATGGGAATCCTGTTGTTATTCAAAACTCACCAAAACTCGAAGATTACAAATCAAAAGTAATTAAAATACTTTTGATTTTTATAATAAAATAAAAATAGTATTTTAATTTTATATTTTGTGGTTAGATTGATTCCTACGATCGCCTCACTCAAAACATCGACAAAATAGTAGATAACATAATTTTTGACAGTTGGTTTATGGCGGATCTTAAACCGTTCAGAACCAGTCTTTTGGAATTGATTATAAGTTGGTCCGATTTATATAAAACATATTTGGTCGACAAAGTAGTTAATAGGTATTTAAAGAGAAAATATAAGTAAATACAGTTTTTTTAACATTTAGCTAAACAAACACGTTTTATTGCCTTTAGTTTGCGGGCGTTACGAGATTTTTGCGTAGAAACAGATGCCGGTCTTTTAAAACCATTAGAAGAAGGCGATTACGAAGGGCTGGTCACTATTATGGGTCACCTGTTTAAAGTCCGTGAACGCCAAATGGAGTATGATTACATGTTTGAGCCGTTACAAGAAATATTAGATTTGCTCAAAATTTACGACGTCGAAATGCCAGAGGACGTTTACATTTTGATGCAGGTATTATTGGTTTTTGTATTCCAACCAGAATCATTATTCGTAGCTTAATAAATCACTGTCGTCGAGTGTCTAGGAGTTGCCAGGCAAATGGATGACAACAAAGAAGAACGCGTTAAACGTCAAATCTCAAGTCGCCCCGTTGATCCAAACAGAAGGGTCGATAATTGGCAGAAGAATCGTGCTGTTGGGTGTGAGAGAAACGATATTTAAAAATAACTTTTTAACGGCACCCCAGTTTAGGTAAACGTTAAAAATAAATTAACATTGCCGTTTTTGGTATTTGTGCGCTATTAACATTTTCTATTGGCTAGATGGAAATGTAAGCGTCCGTATGTAGAAATAGATAAATCAGCGAAAGACATGGAAAACTTAGATGAACTACACGACAAATTGCTTTCGCAAGCCGTCTTATTCGAAATACCACAACCGGAACAGAATATATTGGCACCTACTAAAAAAAGTTTGAAACTCATCAAACAACTATGGGACTTTGTTAGTGTCGTAAGAAGTTGGATTGAATCGTGGAAAGCGACTTTGTGGAAAGACGTGGATACCGAATTCATGGACATGGAGTTGAAACGGTTCGCCAAAGATTTGAAAAGTAATATTAATTGTTATTTGTAGGTATATTATTTTTATTGTTCATAGTTTTTGTGTTTTGGGTTAACGCCCTATTGTAAAATAAAATTAAAAAAATTTATATATACGTTGTTTTTTTCTGAAGCAATGGACAAAGAAATACGAGATTGGGAAGTATACATAAAAATTGATAATATGGTTAAAAACATGATGACGTCGTTGAGAGCCCTTATTGAACTTCAAAATCCAGCGATGAAAGACCGTCATTGGAGTGAATTAATGGAAGTGACCAATGTAATGTATTTTTTTTTTTACAAAAACGCGCAGAGCACTGAACTCGATTATTGTCTTAGGTGCAATTCTCCATAGAGGACACGACCACTTTAGACGATCTGGTGGCACTCAATTTGCACCAATGTGAGGAAGACGTAAAAATTATAGTCGATAAGTCCGTCAAAGAAATGGGCATGGAAAAATCGTTAAAAGAATTTGCAGAAACTTGGAACAACATGGAATTTGAGTATACTCCCCATGGTCGTACGAAGTATTTCTTACTAAAAGCCAGAGAAGAGCTTATCGAAATTTTGGAGGACAATCAAGTGCAATTGCAAAATATGATGAGTTCAAAATTTGTTGGTCATTTTTATAATGAAGTTTCGACGTGGCAAAAAAAATTAAACACTGCCGACAAAATAATCAACATTTGGATGGAAGTGCAAAGAGTATGGGCGTACTTGGAATCCATATTTATCGGCTCTGACGATATAAGAACACAGCTTCCAGAAGATACTAGACGGTTTGAGATGATTGACAGAGACTTCAAGGTACACTTATAATTTTTTTTTTTTAATGTGTGTTAATGAATCATAAATTATTATTATCGTTTCTATTGGCAGGTTTTGCTCACCGATATAAAAACTACGCCAAATGTTATTAAAGCTACAAGTAAACCGGGATTATATGAAAAACTTGCTAACATACAAGTAGAATTAGGAAAGTGTGAAAAAGTACTAGCACAATATTTGGAAACGAAACGTTTAGCGTATCCGCGGTTCTATTTCTTATCCGTCGCCGATCTGTTAGAAATTCTGTCCAATGGAAATAATCCAGAAGCGGTTTGCAAGTAAATAATATAACATAAGACCTAAATATAACTAACATATCGCATTTTTAATATGTTGTGGCGTCTTGATTGAGAGGCTTTACGCGGCAGTGTTTTTACGCACCTAGCTGTGGTAAAAAAACAAAAGTACACTTTTACTATTATATCGGTTATTACAGACATTTGACTAAACTTTACGATTCGGTGTCAGCGTTGAAATTTGGTAAAGAAAAACTGGCAAACGGCATGTACGCCAAGGACGGCGAATACGTAGAATTCTTTGGGACTCTCGATTGCGGAGGACAAGTAAAATATATGCAGTTTATTAAGTATAAATACATTTTAATGAGTTAAAAAGTAGGTATTTATATTTGCGTTTTTCCTTCGACGTATAAAATATTGAAAATCGTACATTATTTTAGCTTCGATGCGGAGCTGAGAAAGTATTGTATTTAGAATAATGTTTTTATTTTTTTTTTTTTTTTTGTGGATCCACGATATCTTTTAAACCGCTGAACCGATTTCTTCATGTAGAAGCGCTAAAGATCAGAAATAGTACCCAGAAAAGTACTTTAATGGCCCAACAATTAAAAAAAAAAGAACCCTTCCCCTTCTAAATCGAGAAAAACACCCAAAAAATGTACATATTTTTCAACTAAAAATTACGATTCTCCGTTACTTTTTTAAAAATAGTTGAATTAGCTTCAAATTTGTTTTTAATATCATTTAAACATAGTGCTACCGACAAACATTGACAAGCCATAAAAATATCATAACCTCTTTCCCCTGAAAGGAGAGACATTTTTTATTTATTTTACTTTTTGCAAGCAAAGTTTTAGGGATTTAAGTTTGAAAATTAGAGCAAAGGTACAATTTTCTCAAAAATCTTTGATCGAATTTTTTTTTTACTAAACCCCTAAAAAACTTATATAAATCATTAATTCGTCCAACAAAAACAAATGTCAACAACATCCGTATTGTATTGTAGCTGTGGTGTATAACAACATAAAAAATAAAACAAATATGTCAGGTATTCAAAACTCCCTTATACTTAGAAATAGCGTTTCACTTAATGTAAAAGTCAACAAAATAGAATGACCATATCACGTCCTTATAATTATTTTTGATTCGATTAACAATATCTAATTTATAATATCTATCATATGTTAATAGATAGTCGTTAATGTGCTTCTATTTGGTTTTAATTATTCCATTAGATAGAAAAATATTTTTGTCATTTTTAGGTGGAAAGATGGTTGAATCGATTAACGGATATAATGAGGTCGTCGGGTCGTCATTACTTTAGTAAAGGCGTAAAGACCTATGACGATAAACCTAGAAGACTATGGATATTCGATTATCCTGCACAAACGGCGTTGTGCGGTATACAAATTTCGTGGACTACCGAAACTAACGAGGCATTTGCTCGTCTGGAACTAGGACACGAGAATGCAATGAAAGAATTTAATAAAAAACAAGTAATTTTTTCCGTATTTTATCGCTTGTGATTCGTGACATCCTCGTTCGTCGTTTCAGATATCACAATTAAACGAGCTCATTGACTTGTTATTGGGTGACCTGTCCGTTGGAGATAGGCAAAAGGTGAACACAATTTGTACAATTGATGTGCATTGCCGAGACGTTGTTGCGAAAATGATACAGATGAGAGTAGAAACCAGTGCTGCATTCCAATGGCAATCACAACTTCGACACAGGTAAACTTATAATAATGAAAAAAGGATACACACTATTTTATGGTCGAGTATTAACAAAATTACATGCTATTTCATCAGATGGGACTTGAAGGAAGCGGACTGTTTTGCCAACATTTGCGATGCACAATTTCGTTATTCTTATGAATATCTGGGAAATACACCAAGATTAGTAGTCACTCCTCTTACTGACAGGTGTTACATTACTTTATCACAGGCAAGTTAATTACAATCGTATTTAAAGACCACAAGGCAAAAACGATAAAACCTCATTTTTCTCGAACTGAGAAAAGCTATTTTCAAAGTTCCAGTCTCTGTGTTTTTGTATTGTGGTCCAAACTTTACATCCCCATTGAAGTAAGGGAACCATCGTTTTCGCATGAGAGTAAATTTCTGCTGAAACTTTGACCACCCTATGGGTTTGATAGTTTTTGCCTTGTAGTCTTTATTTTTAAAAATATTTTTATAATCAATTTTACTCTCCTATACATTCTAATAATGTTATAGTCTCTGCATTTAATAATGGGAGGTGCTCCGGCTGGCCCGGCCGGTACTGGTAAAACCGAAACTACCAAAGACTTGGGTAAAGCTATCGGAATGATGGTGTACGTATTTAATTGTTCAGAACAAATGGATTACCAAGTCAGTAAAAACATTTTTTTTTTTCAGTCAAATTCACCTTAATAGAACCATTATTATTATTTACAGTCGTGTGGTAACATATATAAAGGTTTAGCCCAAACCGGTGCTTGGGGGTGTTTCGACGAGTTTAATCGTATTTCCGTTGAAGTACTTTCCGTCGTTGCGACACAAGTGAAATCTGTTTTGGATTCCATCAAGGCAAAAAGGAGTACGTGCATTTTGTTAGGCGATACTGTCAATCTTATAACAACAGTGGGTATGTTCATTACAATGAACCCCGGTTATGCTGGGCGCGCAGAACTTCCGGAAAATCTTAAAGCTTTGTTTAGGTGAATTTTTTGTTACCAAGTTATACATAATTCGTTTCGTTCTAACGTTTCGTTACTTAATAACAGACCCTGCGCTATGGTAGTTCCTGATTTTGAGTTGATTTGCGAAATTAATCTAATAGCCGAAGGGTTCCAAAGCGCTCGGTTACTAGCCAGAAAGTTTTTGACGTTATACTCGCTGTGTAAAGAACTGTTGTCTAAACAAGATCACTACGATTGGGGTCTTCGAGCAATCAAATCGCTATTAGTGGTGGCTGGTTCGTTAAAGGTAAAATTTCAGTGATATTACACACTTTAAGTAATAATGCTGCCAATCTCAGCCGTTTTTAATCATTCTTTCAGAGAGCCGACAGATATCGTCCCGAAGACCAAGTGCTAATGCGAGCGCTCAGGGATTTCAACACTCCAAAAATTGTTACCGATGATGTGGCCATTTTCATGGGACTTATTGGTGATCTATTTCCGGCATTGGACGTACCACGTAAACGCGATGTCGAATTCGAAAATCAAGTGCGCAAAGCCACTATCGATCTCCGACTTCAACCCGAAGACAGCTTTATTTTAAAAGTATTTTGCTTTCTTATTTTAATAATACCACTGTTATAACAACATTGCGCGAACTACCGGACCAATTCCTTGTCGCACGCAGGTGGTCCAATTGGTGGAACTGTTGGAGGTCAGACACTCAGTATTTATAATCGGCAATGCGGGTACGGGCAAATCGGAAGTATGGAAAACTCTATACAAGACGTACAGCAATTTGGGCTACAAACCGTACTACAACGATATTGAACCAAAAGCAGTGACAAACGACGAGTTGTTTGGCGTGATCAGCGCGGCGACCAGGGAATGGGTGGACGGTAAAAATCGCACATTTTTTCCGTTACACAGAGAAAAATTGAATCATGGATATATATTAATCCTATTCTGGATGGTTTCGTAGTTATTTCAGACCTGATAGCTAAAAAAGATTAACACATTGTAAACATACTTAGATATTTATTATTATAATACAGTGAAACTCATCTCACATGAACCATGAATAACATGAAACATAATTTTAGATTTAATAAAAATGACCCTTTCCCTCCCTTTCCCCAATCTAAGATGAAAACCCTGTGGATAATGGTTCAGTAATGAGGCGTATTGAATCGTCAAATTAAATATTTTATTACTGATCTTTCATCAGCTGGCTCTTATCGAACGTGACCGATGTTCTTATATAAAAACTGTCGATTTTTTCCGGTTGTGTGGCCAAGCAAAGACATAAAATGTCAAATATCCATGTGAAATGCATCGCATATTTTGAAAAACCGATAATGAACTGAAATGTATTTCATAGGTCTTTTTTCGTGTCTGATCAGAGAACAGGCACAAATGCCCGGCACCGGATCCAAGTGGATGGTGATGGACGGTGATATTGATCCCATGTGGATCGAATCGCTGAACACAGTGATGGATGATAACAAAGCATGTTTTTTTTAATTTTACCGCAAATTGGCTTATGATTATAATAATAATAATAATACAATTTTGCTTTTGAGCAGGTCTTAACGTTAGCCAGTAACGAGCGTATCGCTCTGACGAGGTCAATGCGACTTTTGTTTGAGATATCGAATTTGCGGTCAGCCACTCCGGCTACAGTGTCTCGCGCCGGTATCCTTTACATAAACCCCGCTGACTTGGGATGGAACCCTTACGTAGCTAGCTGGATAGACACAAGGACCAGCGCGACCGAAAAGGCGGCCCTGGTCGTGTTGTTCGATAAATACGTGCCGGTTTGTTTGGAAGCGTTAAAAACGAGATTCAAAATAATCACTCCCATTCCTGAAATCACGCACATTCAAATGCTATGCACGCTCTTAGAATGCCTTTTAACGCCGGCAAATGTACCGCCAGATACTACGAGAGATATATACGAGACCTACTTTGTGTTCGCGTGCATTTGGGCTTTTGGTTCAGCAGCGTTCCAAGATCAGGTATGTTAAAAAATATACGGAATTGTTTATTTGTTCATTTGTCGAAACTTGCTACGAAACTTTAAATTGATTTGCAAATATTTAATAAAATTACTTAAATCGTCAATATGAAATACTTACATTTTAAACTGAAAAACATTTTACATTTTAACTTCATACATTTTACATCTTTTTTTAATAAATTATGATTATTTTATCATAATATAAAAATGAGGATGGTCTAGATTTGAACATATTGGGGTTGATTTTATTTGAATGTAATATTATGATTTGTATTATTATTACGACCACCATTGTTAATGCTGTGTCATTTATGACAACCTATGAAGTATGAATACTAGGCAGCCCGCTCGATTTTTTAATAAAATAAAGTTGTATCCCTCTCTTAGGTCCGCATCGAAGCTAACAATATGATTTTAATTACATAATATTACAATTACTGCCTATAAAATGGTTGAAATTTATATCCGATAGTTTTTACAATCTACAGTTTCGGGTTTCTAGAGATCTGTTTCTTCCTGGACCCCGCTGTGTTGATTTTTTTAAATAACTATTTTTAGTATTTTATTTTTTAACTCCAGAGTGCTGTTATCAAATTGTTTTCTTATATTAATAAAATAAGAACAACCACCAGCGATTAAAATTATGTTTAAAATGCCGTACTTAATTATTATATTATTGTAGCTGATAGATTGGAGAAACGAGTTTACTAAATGGTGGTCATCGGAATTTAAAACAATCAAAATTCCACCAGCCGGAGTTGTCTTCAATTATTTCATCGAATCCGAGACTAAGCAATTCCGACCGTGGTCAGACCTAGTGTTGCCGTTCGAGTTAGATCCCGACGTACCGCTACAAGTAATACATTAATTAAATAAACTACAATAAAAAGGAATTTATATAAAATGCTAACAATATTGTGTACACGCTACAGCAAACTCTGGTCAGCACCAATGAAACAACGAGAATTAGATATTTCCTTGATCTCTTGATCGATAAACGCAAACCAGTTATGCTGGTTGGTTCAGCTGGCTCAGGGAAAACAGTAATCATCAATGAAAAACTTAAATCCCTTTCAAATGATCTATACGCAGTCACGAGTGTTCCCCTTAATTTTTACACAACATCAGGTATGCAAAATTTAAACTTACAGGTCAATACTTAGGTCAAATCATAATAATTAGATATGTGTAGATTTTTATTTATTTGTATCATCAGAGTTGGTCATATATTTTAAATATGATAAGATATTAAATATCTAAATTTTAGTAGATACCAATCAATTGAAATATGTGATTTAGATAACAGACAATTAATTAGAAAATAAAATGATAAAAAAATGGACAATGTAAATTTATTAATATAATATACCTCATAATATATAATATACCTCCTTTTATAAGTGTGTTATATTGTTATATTGTTAAGTGTTATATTGTGCAGACATTAACTGTACTGTATCTTCTGTTTTAAAATATTATTTTGTATATACCAACTGTTTGACATATTTTTAATATTATCATGTATAATGTATTTGATCACATTGTTAAAACATTTTTATTGTCTGTAGAACTAATTATTCGTTAAAACTATAAATTAATTATTTTGTATTCGATTAATATTTTTAACGGTTCATTTAAACTCATCATTAATCTGTTATTTTGTCAATCGAAATTTTTTTGAAAAATGCCTTACTGATAAAATTATTTATTTAAAAATGATGATTGTTTGATTAGAAATGTTGCAAATGATTTTGGAAAAACCATTAGAGAAGAAAGCTGGAAGAAATTATGGTCCACCAGGTGGCAAAACGTTAATATACTTTATTGACGATATGAACATGCCAGAGGTAAATAAACTGATAATCGTGTGGATCCTATAGTAAATCTCTAAAAATTACTTATTTAAAAATTAATAAATAGGTTGACGCTTATGGAACGGTGGCACCCCATACTCTTATCAGACAACACATGGACTACAAGCACTGGTACGACAGAACCAAATTATCGTTAAAAGACATCAACAATGTGATGTTTACTGCGAGTATGAATCCGACCGCTGGAAGTTTCACTATAGATTCTAGACTTCAAAGACATTTCTACGTGTTCGCTTTAGGGTAATTTTGAATTTGAAATATAAAAAAAAAAAATCCACTAATAATCCAAATTTTTTTAGATTTCCGTCGCACGATGCTTTACAAACTATTTATAATTCCATATTTTCTCAACATCTATCTAATCCGGCCAACAAGTTCAGTCTAACCATAATTAGATTGTGTGAGCTGATTGTGCAGTTGGCAATAGGATTCCACGATAAAATCCAAACGGTTTTCTTACCGACGGCCATTAAGTTTCATTACATTTTCAACCTTCGGGACATGAGTAACGTTTTCCAGGTATGAACTATTTACAATTCAGTAATATAGATCTAACCATTTTTTTTTAATACGACCATTCCTATGCAGGGTTTAATGTTTGCTACTGGCGAGTGTGTGACGTCGACCAGTTCTATGATAAGACTTTGGCTCCACGAAACCAGCAGGATTTATGGCGACAAGTTAGTTGATAAAAAAGATCAAGAGACTTTCACGAAGACGATCGTTGAACAAATAAAGAAAACGTTTTCTGTAAGTAAATCAATGTATCAATGAAGCATTTTTATTTCTTTTTTTTTATAATATAACATAAATAAATTGTATAATTTACTTGAAGGAAAGACATTGGATCATGAATATGTCTTACGATCAACGATTTTGAATAATTCATAATTATCTAACCAATAATCTCTTATCAGCATCCAAAAATAAAACAACAGCCATAGCAATCAAGGCATCATCAACTATTATACATAAAAGCTTATTACGTATTTCAGGTAGACCCCCCCCCCTCCCCAAGTCAAAAGACATGTTCATGCCAAAATGTATTTTTAAAAATTGTATGTTAAAATATGCTGAAGCTAAATTTTAAACTCTAAAACAGCTAACTAAATAAGTATTTTAATGTTATTGCATTGAGCTAACGCTAATGTACCCACTACAAAAAATGTGTAACATATGTATATTTCTATTCACGCAGTCCTTGGTCTATGAAGTAAGAATAAAAATCAATATTTTACTGTAGTATAGTGTTTAAATAATACTGTAATTAGATATAGAATTTTTCTTTAATTTATATATCAATATAGCCTTTATGATTTTGTTTTGCTTTTATTGGCTATTAAAGTTTTTTGCAAGCTACCGCTTAACATTTTCTTCTGTTTGGATAGCGTATTTAGTCCATTCCGACTAATCAATTCATTAATACGAATCATCACTAAATTTCGATACTTTCTTTCAAGTTGTATAGTCTTTTAAAAGTTATCTTCATTACCCGAATGAAAGCAGCAGATAATTGTTCGTATGTGATTAGATAACAATGTAGGAATTGACAATTTATTCCGGGATTTTGTTACTATATACTACAATATAAAGCAATACTTTGAAAATATTTTTTTGAGGGGGGACTGTTGATCACATGACTTCTTCTAGCGAGTAATTCAATCATAACGTTATTCCAATACATGATAATCATATTACTCCGATCCCTGTTCAAAGTTACATAATCCGCTCATAACTAAAATATTGCACAAACGATTTCTTGGACACGTAAAACACATGTTAACCAACCAAACTGGGATTTTATCGAATGTAGGACGTTCAAGAAAACGAGTATTTGATTCATCCGTTGTTGTATTCTCATTTCGCCGAGGCCATCGGTGATCAAAAATACATGCCCGTCCGATCGTGGCCAGTGTTACAAAAACTGCTGACCGACGCTATGAATTCGTACAACGAACTGGTGGGTGCAATGAATCTGGTACTGTTCGAGGACGCCATGTCTCACGTTTGCCGGATTAACCGTATACTGGAGCTGCCCAGAGGTAACGCACTACTTGTCGGTGTTGGCGGCAGTGGAAAACAGTCGTTGGCCCGACTGTCGGCGTTCATTTCTTCGCTGGAACCGTTCCAAGTGCAACTGAGGGCCTCGTATGGCATCGGCGATTTGAAGGCAGACCTCGCGGCGCTATACCTAAAAGCCGGATTGAAGAACATGGGTATCATGTTCCTGATGACCGACTCTCAGGTGGCAGACGAGCGGTTCCTGGTACTCATCAACGACATGCTGGCCAGCGGTCAGATACCAGATTTGTTCGCCGACGACGAAATCGACAACATCATACAGACCATCGGCCCGGAGGTTGACTGACTGGATAGGTTTTCAATATATTTTGTGACGGATCTTTAGATCATTTATTTTTTTCCAGGTAAAAGCGGCGGGTCTACCTGAAACCAAAGAAAACGGATGGACGTTTTTCATAAACAAAGTACGGTCGTTACTCAAGACCGTGCTATGCTTCTCGCCCGTAGGCAGCACGTTGAGGATCCGAGCCAGGAGATTCCCGGCTCTAGTCAACTGCACTTCGATCAATTGGTTTTACGAATGGCCCAAAGAAGCATTGGAATCTGTATCGTACAGATTCTTAAGTAACTTGGAAGAACTTACGTTTAAGTTGAAAAAACCCGTTTCTCTATTCATGGCACACGTGCACAGCTCTGTCAACGACGTGTCACTTAAGTACTTGGCCAACGACCGCAGATACAACTATACCACACCAAAGTCATTTTTAGAACAAATAACATTATACATGAAGTTGCTAGTTACCAAAACGAACGATATTAAATACGGTATATTGAGATTTCAAAACGGTATTAAGAAGCTTATAAGCTGTGCGGCTCAAGTAATTATTATAATTTCTACTATTATTATTATTATTGTTATTAAACTATTAGAATTTTGTTCAAAAGTGAAAACCACCTTAAGAACTCATTAATACCTCATTTCGCCGTTAATAATATTTACCTACTTTTTTTTTATTGACATCTCTCCTACAATTTCTTCTCGCTGCACTGCAACATTAACATTTTAATTTTTTTAGAAAAGTTTTGACATAAGTTTATTATTGTGTTTAGGTAGATGGATTAAAAGTCGAGTTAGACGTGCAAGAAGTTGAACTGGCTAAAAAGAATACTAAAGCCGAAGAACTTATTAAAATTGTACAGAAAGAGACTGAAAAAGTGAAATTAGAAAAAGAAAAAGGTTTTACTCAAAATATATTACAATCTATGATGCGCTATTACAACGTATATTGATTTTTAACTATAGCTGCCGAGGAAGAATATAAAGTAAAGCTCATAGAAGAAGACGTAGCGCTTAAGCAAAAAATGTGCGCCGAAGATTTAGAAAAAGCTGAACCCGCATTGGTCGCTGCACAAAAGGCTTTGGACACATTGAACAAGGTTTTCGATTAAATAAATAAAAAAATTTAAGTCGTAGCTTAACTCATTATGGCATATAAGGTTGTTAACTCTTTTAAGTATGCAAACGTACGTAAGAAAACTCAGAAAATGTATTTTACTAATGTTTGATGTTTATATAACATATTGTACAAATATAATACAATTATATACAATATAATTATATATATATTCAATGTGTATTATAGAACAACTTAACGGAGTTAAAATCTTTCGGATCACCTCCGGCACTAGTAGTAAATGTAACTGCTGCTGTAATGGTGTTACAATCTAAAAAAGGAAAAGTTCCGAGAGACAGAAGTTGGAAAGCTTGTAAGGTAAACTATCAAACAAATATACTTAAATATTCAATTCTCTAACCGATCAAAAAAGGTTATGTTGGTCTGGTAATTTAACATAATGTAAAAACTGCGAGTAAAACTAATTGTATATTTAATAATTGTAAGTTAAAAGTAATCTACGGCATCTACTTGACTTATTATTAATTATTGTATTAATTATCCTTAATTTTAAGGTAATGATGGCTAAAGTTGACCAGTTTTTAGACTCTCTTATAAACTACGACAAAGAGCATGTACATCCAGATGTGGTCAAAGCAATTCAACCTTACTTGAAAGACCCAGATTTTGATCCAGATTTTATTGCTGGAAAATCGTTAGCTGCTGCCGGTCAGTACTATAATCAACGTTTAAGTCTGTATATGTTTTTCTGTTTAATATAGAAGTTCTCTAATTTAAGGTTTGAGCGCATGGGTTATAAATATCATGAAATTCAATGACGTCTGGCAAGTGGTCGAACCCAAAAGAAGAGCTCGAGATCAAGCGACCGAAGAATTAAACGCAGCTAGAAATAAGCTTATAGAACTCCGAAATATGATTAATGTAAATACGGAGTGAAATAAAAATATTTTACTAGAAAGTTTTAAAAACCATATCTGCTTTTGTACAGGAATTGGAGAGAAAACAGAAAGTGCTAACGGACGAATTCGAAAGAGCGGTTGCCGAAAAGACTAAATGTCAAAATCAAGCTGACGAAACTGCCATGCGAATAGATTTGGCTAATAGACTTGTAAACGGCTTAGCATCAGAAAACGTACGTTGGAAAGAAAGCGTGGCAACGTGAGTGCATTTAAAAATCAGTAATTTTTAATTAAATAAATAAAAAATCGATATTTAATCTGATAAATTTTATCCGATATCAAAAGGTCAGGTGTAGCTTTACTCGTTGATTAATACTATAAAAAATTATTTTTCAATTAATAATCAGGTTATAATATATATTTCTTAAATTTACTCAAATGTAAATTAAAATAATTATCAATACTTTTTAGTTAGACCATTATATTATTCTTAAAAAAACTATTTGAAGGGCTGCGGGGAAAAAAGATCAATGTCAATTTTTTAACATTCTGAGAAAATCATGTTTTTAATTTCAAAACGTAATACATTTTGCCTGTATGCCTAAACTTCCGGCGGTCGTTACTCTCGACTAAGCTATTTTTTTCCTTGGTTCGAGCGCATAAAAGATACAATACATTAATACAAATAATTTGATACCAAAATCTCATTTTCAAATAAAATTGACATTGATCTTTTTTCCCCACAGCCCTTCATTTAGAATTAGTTATTATTTTTTTAATATTTTTCTGAATGTTTCAACCACAACAGTCTACAAAAGAGTTTGCAGACCCTGCCCGGAGATATTTTAATGGTTTCAGCGTTCGTATCGTATGTAGGATATTTCACGAAAATCTACAGACAAGATTTAATGAAGAATTCGTGGATACCGTTTTTCAAAGAAGTCAAAGTAATAATCCAACATACGTTTATGGTTTATTATTTAGCATTATATCTACTATTTATTGTCTAATGGTCTCTCACAGCCGGAAATACCTGTAACCGACGATTTAGATCCGCTTGTTTTACTCACCGACGACGCACAAATTGCTGCGTGGAACAACGAAGGTCTGCCTAACGATCGAATGTCTTCCGAAAACGCAACGATATTAACGAATTCAGACAGGTGGCCTTTGATGGTTGATCCTCAGGTAATAATAAAATCAAATGTGTTATAAATAAGTAGTCTGTATTACAAATATTCACGATATGGTATGCATGAAGTTACAAGGAATCAAGTGGGTCAAGAACAAATATGGTAAAACGTTAAAAGTAACGAGGTTAAGCTACAAAAACTACTTGGGCTTGATAGAAAATTGCGTGCGAGACGGTCACGTATTACTGATTGAAAATATCGGCGAGAGCATCGACCCCGTTTTGGACAACGTGCTAGGTCGAAATTTAATAAAAAAAGGAAGGTAAATAAATATGATAGAATAAATTTTTTTAAATGTTTTTTTTCTCTAAATAATATAACATTTTTAAAATTAAAATTTCGTGTAAAGAGCCGTCAAAATTGGGGAGAAAGAGGTAGATTTTCATCCGAGCTTCAAACTTATTTTGCATACGAAACTTTCAAATCCGCACTACAAACCAGAAATGCAAGCGCAGACAACATTAATCAACTTTACGGTGAACCGTGATCAGCTAGAAGACCAGCTGTTGGCTGAAGTGGTTAAAGTAGAAAGACCAGACTTGGAAAAACTCAGGACCGAACTGACCAAACAGCAAAACGGTTTCAAAATCACTCTGAAACAACTCGAAGACGGACTGTTGCAGAGGTTAGCGTCGGCCGGCGCTGAAATCTTAGGAGACAAAGAATTAGTTTTAAATCTGGAAAAATCCAAGAAAACCGCCACCGAAATCCAAGAAAAGGTTATAGAAGCAAAAATTACATCCAAAAACATCGATACCGCCCGTGAAGCCTACCGTGGTGCTGCTACAAGAGCGTCAATTCTTTACTTTATAATGAACGATTTGATTAAAATTAACATGATTTATCAATTTTCACTCGAAGTAAGTGTGTTTAGGCAATTCTGTGACTGACTAATCAGGTAATTCTTGCATATTTTTTGTTTAGGCTTTCAGCGTTGTCTTTCAGAGGGCTATGCGAAATGCTGAAAAAGCTAACACGCTAAGCGAACGGATCGTTAATCTTATTGACAACATAACCTACCAAACATTTATTTACACAGGCAGAAGCTTATTTGAAAGAGACAAGCTGACTTTTATCGCTCAAGTGACTATTCAGGTATGAAGCATAATAATGATAACTATAACGTTCTATCGATAATGTTACCTAACAAATTGCAATTCTTATTTTAGATACAACTCCAAGCACAAAAAGTGAAACCATCAGAGCTAGACTACTTGTTGAGACGACCCATTATCGTCGGACTGTCCAGCCCGTTTGATTTTATATCTTCAAACGTTTGGGGGGCTATACGAGCACTCGTCATGGCTGACAGCGAATTCATGTAATTATTTTTATTTCATTTTATTTTCCAAGAATTGTTTTGTAATGATTTTTATTTAAAGAGGTTTGGACAAAGATATTGAAACGTCTGGTAAACGTTGGCAAATGTATATTGAAAGCGAAGCGCCGGAAAAAGAAAAGTTGCCACAAGATTGGAAAAATAAATCTCCCTTACAAAGACTTTGTATACTCCGAGCGCTACGAACTGATCGGATGACGTACGCCACAAAGGCATATGTTGAAGAAGCACTCGGGCCAAAGTACACAAATTTCAGACCACCCGAGTTTCCTGAATCTTTTAAAGAAACAACATCAAAAACTCCAGTGGTTTTCATACTGTCGGCCGGAGTCGATCCTACTAGGGTAAGATTTGTTTTGTTCAATGATATTATTGTGACTTTACACGAACGCTTTGGTGTATATATTTTAGGACGTCGAAGCGTTAGGAAAGAAAAAAGGTTTTACCATCGAAAAGAAAAATTTCCTTAATATTTCGTTAGGACAAGGTCAGGAAAAAATAGCAGAAGATGCGATAGAATTGTCATCAAAGATGGGCTACTGGGTCATGTTACAGGTATAACATATTTTCATGCTAAAAAAAGTATCGATATTTATATTGATAATATATATTTAACTAGAATGTACATTTGGTCAAAAAATGGCTACCGATCTTAGACAAAAAAATGGAGGCATCTTTCGAACACCCGCATAAAAATTATAGACTATTTATCAGTGCCGAACCGGCCCCGGGTCCTGAATTTCACATCATACCTCAGGTAAAATACATCTAATAATATATTTTTTTAAGAAAAAATACACTTCGATTGTTATACTTAGGGCGTGTTAGACTCTTCCATAAAAATCACAAACGAGTCACCGACAGGAATGATGGCGAATTTACACAAAGCTCTAGACAATTTCAGTCAAGATACGTTAGAAATGTGTTCCAAAGAAGGTGAATTCAAAGCGATCATATTCAGTTTGTGTTACTTCCACTCTTGCGTGCAAGAACGAGCGAGATTCGGGGCTCAAGGATGGAACAGATCGTATCCGTTTAACGTTGGCGACTTGACAATTTCGGTAAACGTGCTTTATAACTATTTGGAAGCCAATAACAAAGTCCCGTGGGAAGACCTGAGATATTTGTTCGGCGAAATTATGTACGGCGGACACATCACCGACGACTGGGACAGACGGTTATGCAGGACTTATTTGGAAGTTTATATGAATCCGGAATTGGTAATGTGTGAAAATTAAAATTAATCAATCTTTCCCTTCAAGGAAAGACTCGATTTAGATCGTGAATATTACTTATGATCAGCTTACTTCCTTCACTTCGTTTCCCTCCACACGCCGCCCCTAAACTCACTTCATCTTTTTCTCCCCTTTCTTCTGTCTTCTCCTTTCAATTTCACTAAAAATTAGTGATAATACAATTAAATCAATAAAATCATCAAATCTTTATTAGATGTAATATCTTATAACTTAATTATTATCAGCATGAAAATGTTAAAGCAAATTTTCAATTAATCCCAGCCATAAGACATATTCATGTCGAAATATATTGCCAATGTAGAAATATGTCTATGCTAAAGTTAAATTAAATCGTGTCGTAGATGGAAGGTGATCATTCGTTCGCGCCAGGTTTCGTGGCACCTCCAAACATGGACTACAAATCGTACCACCAGTATATTGACGACTTGCTACCACCCGAAAGTCCAATATTATACGGACTACATTCTAACGCCGAAATTGGCACTCTCACCACGAGATCGGAGAATTTATTCGCCACATTGATGGAAATGCAGCCTCGGGACGCAGGTAGCTCCGGCGGAGGAGGCATGTCCAAAGACGAAAAGGTTAGACTACCTAACCTAACCATTGTATTTTTTTTTTGTCGGATATTACGTGACGACTCGATTTCGGTTTACTTCAAACTAAAAATATTCTTATTTCTGTATATTATAAATTATATAAAACAGATAACATTGCTTTGTAGGTAAAACAAGCGTTAGACGATATCCTTGACAAAGTTCCCGAACCGTTTAATATTCCTGACATGGTGGCACGGGTAGAAGAACGTACGCCATTCGTTATCGTATCGTTCCAAGAGTGTGAACGCATGAACACGCTGATGAACGAGATTAGACGGTCGTTGAAAGAACTCAATTTAGGTTTGAAGGTAAGGGCAAATATATCATAAAACATGACGTATGTTCGTCTTTCCTAAAATGTTGCACACGTTATTGACCTATAGGGAGAGCTTACTATAACCTCGGTGATGGAAGCTTTAGAAGAATGTTTGTTTATGGATAAAGTACCCCCAAGTTGGGAAAAACGGGCCTATCCTTCATTGTTGTCGTTATCATCCTGGTATGCCGACTTGCTTCTCAGACTTCGTGAACTCGAAGGGTGGGTCAGCGAATTCCAAGTAAGTGAAACCGCAGCCAAAGTATGATTTATAGCAAAAAACGATCAAACACCTGTTTTTACTGTAGCACAAATTCACAAATATATATAATTTTACCCCCTCAAAGAAGAAGTTACGGTTCCATGAAAAATTTGTATTAATATCTCAGGATGAGAGTAGGTATTCTTTTCGAAAATAGATATGTGACATGTGTAATGTTGATTTGTTCAAACATGTGAATCTTCTTCTGATTTTCATTAAATGGAACTTCTAATAAAACTGTACATAATTGCAACTGTAAACTGCTTCATAATTATGGTAAATATTGAAATAAAAAGTAACATTATTCAAGCAAACGAAAAAAGGCTATATAGTGGAAGAAAATCCAAACTTATTGAATTTTTGAAAATTCCATAACCTATACTCTTTAAAATAAAAAGGTTGAAAGTCTAAATCTATTATTTTACCTACAAACTACGTTGAAATTATAAAATCTTGATTTTTTAAAAATTTAGGTGAGGTTTCCTAGTCTGGCTTTGTTAATGCATTACATATATTTATATTCTCAGCTACCTTCGTCCGTATGGTTGGGCGGGTTTTTCAATCCGCAATCGTTCCTGACGGCCATCATGCAAAGTACAGCGCGTAAGATGGAATGGCCATTGGACAAGATGTGTTTGCAGTGTGACGTTACGAAGAAATTTAAAGAAGAAATATCGTAAGGAAGATAGAAATGTATATACTGGGGATTTTTGCATAACGTTTAACTGGGTAGTGTGTATGTAAACGAACATCGTAAATGTTATTATTCCAATAATAGCGTATTGTAAGCTCTATTGGCTAACCAATACCGTATAAATTTAACCTTGTGCAAAAAAACTCCCTACCGACATTATAATATACTGCACAAGCCTGTTTTCGCTAGGTTGCCACCCCGAGAGGGAGCAATGATCAACGGATTAATATTGGAGGGAGCTCGATGGGACGTCAATATGGGTTGCATTGTTGAATCAATTCCCAAGGAACTTTTCCCCATTATGCCAGTCATACACGTAAAAGCTATTATCAAGGACAAACAAGACCTGCGAAATGTGTACGAATGTCCCGTGTATAAAATTAAACTCAGAGGTCCGACGTATGTGTGGACGTTCAATCTGAAAACTCGCCAAAAACCGTCCAAATGGGTTTTAGCCGGCGTAGCTATTCTGCTGAGCATTTGAAAACCGTTTGCCAGTGATTATAAATTTATCTACTTGATGTATTACTATTTTCAACAAGTAATACATTTTGTTTGTTTATCTGATGTTTTCGTTTAAATCATTAATGAAGAGTATATTATAAATTACACCTTATAACTATTGACATTAACAAGACTTCGAAGCTTATTTATAAAATTTCATAAATATCCAATCTAATGTATTTTGAATCAAATAAAATACTAAACCGAATGTAATTATTAATGTAGATTTTGGTTGTAAAAGCTGTAGTTAAGTGGACGTTATTCAACCGTGATTATAGTGTGAAAACAGGATTTGCGCGAATGTATACCATTCTACTGTCTGTAATAGTACTAAATTTACCAAATTGTCATGAAAAAAATAGAGGGCGATACATTCTATACTTGAGGTTTCGTTTTTTTGATATACCGTACGATTTTTATGTTTATAAACTAATATGTTATTTACAGAGGATTTAAAGTAGATGGCAATAATATTAATACTAACAAAACTTTACTGACTCATCTGGTGCACTAAGACACATTAGCTGGTAATATACATTAAATGATGCTATATCATCATCTACTTGTGTATATTGTACAACAGCTAAACGAAGATTACATCGACAAAACCTCAGATTAAAAAAAATTGTAACAAAAAAAAAATATATTAAAAAAAGCCAGTAAATTGGGGCCGGGGCATAGTGGGGACAGAGAGGTCACGGTCTATAGATTTTATTATGTTAGATTACATACACATAGCAACCTAGAAACTGACTACGGCCAAAGTGTAAATTAACCGTATTTTTGGGGGTTTTCCTTGATAAAAAATAATTGACTACAGATTTTTGAGAAAATTGTATATGTTATAGTTCCATTTTAGATCTACCTTCGGTCTAATTTTCAGATCTAAATCTCTAAAACTTTGCTTGAAAAAATGAAATAAAGAAAAAAATTCTATCCCTTCTAAGGGAAAGGGTTTATGATATTTTTTTGGTTTGTTAATGTTTATCGATAGTACTATGTTTGAAGAACAATTCATATAAATTTGGAACATTTTCGACTATTTTTAAAAAAGTTATAAAGCATCGTAGTTTTAAGTTGAAAAATTTGTAAATTTTTTAGGTTTATCTCGATTTTGATGGGGAAGGGGTGACTTTTTTAATTTTTGGCCTGATAAAGTATGATTTCTGAACTATAAAGTTGCTACACGAAGAAATCGGTTCAGCGGTTTACGAGATATCGTGGGTCCAGACACAAAAATAAAAAAATAAAAACACATAATTGTAAAAACAATACCTTCTCAGCTCCGCATCGAAGCTAAAAAAGTAAAAAATAACTTATATCTAGAATATAGGGAAAATGGCGTTATATAAACAATAGAACGATTTATTTTAATAGGTAACATCGACCGGCGTTAATATCTAAACACGTTTGTTCAATATGACGTTGCATCCGTAATGAGTGGTAACCAAAATAGTGTGCAAGCAATTTTCAAAAAGAAAGTTCCAAAAGCATTATACACACACTGTTAAAACTATCGTCTAAATTTATTCATTGTGAATGTTTGTAAAAATGTACCAGATATTCAATACTCTATAACACTTCCTCAGCTTTGTATAATTTTATATCTAGATCTACAGTACACGTGGCTTTTTTGGAACTCCAAAAAGAATTGTTTCCTTAAAAAATTACAGTTGAACTTAAAAAGTTATGTGAAACTAGGTGGATTTGCCTGATATCTGCATGTCGCTGATAGAAAAACATTATCAGTTATACTAATACTTCTAAATAAAATTAGTGTGGAATCAAAATGTGAGAAAAGTATGGTAACAAAATCAATTTTGGAGTGGAGTGACTATTTTTTAATGCTTGTCAATCAACAGTTCTTTTATTGTCCCGCGTATCTATCATCATCAATGGTCTGTTAGTTGTGAACTGTGATATTATTTGAAATAAAATAATCGTGTTTTATAAAATATATTACATAGTGCTTAGTGGTCGGTCTGGATTCATTCGTTGTTGTTCACCCATTTTATTACTGACTTTTGTCATATTCTGTCTTATTTTTTATTAAATTATGTCAAACTGCTCTAACAAATGTGATTCACGCAGACGAGTTGGCGATCGCCGTATGAATTCGACTAATTGGGACAGGCACATAAACGATTAAAATTAAATGATACGAATTGGAAAAGACATCTATCTTCATGTAATGAAGCTAACAATAAGTAAAAAAAAACAAAAACAATTAATGACATTTCAATTTTTTATAATAGATTTACCAAAAGAAGTAAAATAAAATGGTTTTAGATTTAATTATTTTTTGATAATTTCAATATTAATAATTTATAAAAAATAAACTGTAAGCAAATAAGTTATGAAAAATTTGTTGTCTGTATTATTATTGCAATAATATTTGCAAGTGTCTTATTTTCAAATTTCAATTATAAAGTTCTTTACTCATAAATACTAATATAATTTTAATGACACCCTTGATACCATAATATCAAGTGTAGATTTTCATTTAAATGATTTTTAATTTTAAAATGTAATATATTAAACATTAAAATAAAAAATAAAAAATAATAATGATAATAATCAGGTTCAATTTTTGGTTTGATAAAAAATAGAGTAATACTTTTTTGTATGAATAGATGTAAGTAATGCGAGTGCTGACACTATGTCGAAGTATCCTTCCATGAATCAAAACACTATTTCAAATACTGCAACTAATATAATAAACCTACAATGTAGTTCAACTTCTAGTATGTAAGATATTATTTAAACAGATATTGTGATATACTGCCTTAAAAATAATTAGATTTTAACTATTTCTAGAAAAAAAACTTTCGTTACTTTCATAATCAAAATATTTATTTAATGATCTTTTTAGAGTTAAAGCATTAACATAGAACAAGATTGTACTACATTATTAAATACTCAACCTGGAGGTATTAAAACAAACATACATTTTTTAAAAATATTGCAATATTAATTTAACCCACTTCCCGATGTCGTAGAGGGCTGAAACTTGGTGTCTGTACTCATCTCGGATGGCAATACAATATCCTGTAATAATATTGGGACTCGGACATCCAGGTCGCCGTACACAGGGTCATATTCACTAAAATTTCATGTTTTTTCAGATCTTCCAAAAGTAATTTAGTAATCTATTCACAGTTATTAATTACCTTTAATAGAACTAAAACGTTAAAAATTAAATTAAAAAAAAACTTTTTTTAAACGTGCTTTTCTAAAAAATAATAAAAAAGTGAACTAAAATATAAAAAATAATTTTACAAAAACAATTTACAAATTATTTGTAGCACATTTTTTTTTAAAATATCAATTACTTTAAGAAACAACAGAAAATTAACTACAAATGTTAAACATCTTTAATTTGTTATTAAAATGAAAGCTTAGGCCCTATTCAACAAATGTATTAAGTTAAGTATTACGAAATGTATTTGTCACACACTAAAATTGAACCAAATTTAAATTACAAAAAAAATTACAATATAAAACATTATCTTAAATTTTATCTGCTAAATTGATTAGGGACTTTATTGAATAGGGCCCACGCTTTTCATTTTAGTCAAAAATTAAAGACGTTTAAAATTGTAGTTAGTTTTTGCTTGTTTTCAAAGTAATTGACATTTAAAAAAAAAAAAATGCCACAATCGATTGGTAAATTGTTCTTGTGGTATAATTATTTTTTACATTTTAATTCACATTTTAAATATTTTTTAGAAAAGCATATTTTTAAAAAAGTGTTTTTTTAATTAATTAATTTTTTTATAAATTTTGGGAATACGATTATACCAAATCAAGCACTATGGAGGGTCTAGAATTAACAACCCTGACAAATACATGTTTTTTAATTTTATTTTTTATCCAATTTGAGAGATTTTACTGAATAGAGAAACGTAAAGCTAAAATTAAAAATGCTCTTTTAAAAGTTTTCTATTTAAAAAAAAACAGTTATAAATTTTGATCACCCATTTCACTCGAAATGTATGATTTTAACACTTCATATTAAAAACAAATTGTTATATTATGTTACTGGCTGGTGCTGATCTAATATTATTGCTACATAAAGAATCTAACGAAATACCTGTTGAATGTGAAGATGACATTGACGATAAAGCAGAATTTGATGAACTAAATAAGCAAAATGAAACATTTAAAGGAAAAATTGGAATTGGTAGAATCCTCTACGTTTTATAAACTTATGGTTTGCAGGCTGCGTTTCCATACCTACACATCGCTTTTAAAGCTTTAGGGACTTTACAGGTTTCTTCATCATAAGCTGAACGATATTTCTCCAAGATAAAATTAAATAAAGAAATATTTAATTTGTGTTAGTTTAATACATATTTTATAATATATTCTATGTAATAGCTATATATGTAATTAAAAATATATTATTGTCTAGGTGAAAATAATTAAATCACGGTTGTGATCCACTATGGTTTAAAATCGACTTAAAAGCTTAATGTTTTTAAGTTGCGAAAGAGATATTAGCATAGACTACGAAGAATAAATAAATACTTGGAGTTTAATTTATCATTGGGGTCATTAGTGACTTTCCATGCATTAACGTATTGAATTATACTAATACGTATTACGTATTACGTAATAACTACACGGTGCCAGTTACTTATATAAACTGTTTTAACTGTGGAAAATTGTAAAAGTTGTCTGCTATACACGTTCAACATGTGTATACGCGTACTGTAAAAAACGAAAAATTGACTAAATTTAAATTATATACTAATAGTCATCATAAGTTGTATTTTAATAACTACTATACAGCCCAAGGGCGGATACAAGGGGGGGGGGGCAATAGGGGCAATTACCCCCCCCCCCCACCGTTCACAAAAAAAGTATTAAATATTCCATTTGTAATTAATTGTGACTAAAATTTTGTTCATGCAAGTTATCGAGGAGGGTCGTTATTGTATTTACCATGAACATTTAATTATTTTTCCATTGAAAATT